TATGACAACTGTGCTCCATGGAACAGCTATGCCTTTGCCTCCAACCAAACCTGCTACAACCTTTGTGTCCATAACTGTGCTGCTGTCTACGATGGATCGTGCATGACTGGAGACGGATTCAGATGTTGTTTGAAGACCACCCCAACCAAGACTCAGGAGTTCAAGACCAGCGGATGCAACAAACTCTACAACAATCTTCCAGGAATGTAAAACTTCTTCAACTAAATGAAAATCTTTTCTGATTTCAAAATAAATGCATTCATCTGCACAATCTTGAGCCGAAATAATGAAAAAAAAAAGTCCCGAACATTTATACTTTAAACATTGAAAAATCAGAAATCCTTTTTTTTCTTTTTCAGCTATTCTCATTGATAGAAGAACGTGTAAAAAGGACGTTAGATTAGAATAAGAACGAAAATTTGCCTGTTTAAAAAATGATTTGTATTTTTTTCTCTCACAAATTATTCGATATATTTTCCAACAAATCAATGCAATAATAAACAATAGGAGTGGTCTTTTTTCCCAAAGGAAAAACACGGAAAATTTAACTTTATCTTTCCTGAAAGTGAAAAAAAAATTAATGTGTGTTGTTGTAATGGAAGATACTATGGTTGATAATATCTTGGAAGAAATGGCAACTCAAAATTGATGTCTTTCTTGATAGAATCTTTCTGAGGTGTAAAAATTTGCTTTCTGAAAAAATCTTCATGCAAATCTTTATTCGTCAAAGTCGGAACAGCTTTCTAGATGAACTTAGCTTTCTGTGCTGGTCCAAACACAGCTGTGGATAGTGGCCATCGGAGGGGCATTCTGTTCCGAGAGGGGTATTAGGGCAAAATAGGTGTTGTGAGGAACGGAACTATATACAGAACCGGTCAATAAGAAATACAAAAACGTGTTTTTCAGTTAAATTAGATCATTTTCAAGAGTCTGGAGCTCGGCTGTCAAGTGTTCGATCATTTTGAATGTTTTGGAAAATATAAAGCTGATCTAGATTCAAAACTTTGCATTCGTAGCATTTTTTGGAAATTTCTAGTTTTTCCGTTGTTTGCCGATTTCTGAAAGACACTTTTTTGGCCGTTTTCGTACATGAGACAAGCAGGAGTTCTGCAGAAAATGAAAAATAGAAAAACTAATAATTTTCCGAAATTTCTGTAAAAGCCAAATTCTCAATCTTGGTCTGTTTTACACTGTCCAAAATTTTCAAACTGATCGGACACTTGACAACCGAGCTCCAGACTCTTGAAAATGGTCGAAATGGCCAAAAAATTTTCGTGATATCAATTTCTTAATTGTTCCGATATGTTCCATGCTGTGTTCGTTCTCTTCGAGTTATGAAAGCATTAATAAATACCAAGACCCGACTTGGACCACAAGAAAAATTAACGGAAAAAATTCAATTCCCTGTAATAAGGCTGTCAGACTAGGAAGGTAACAAATTTTAGAAGTGAAATTATTTATTATGAAATTATTTTTTCAAGAGTCTGGAGCTCGGTTGTCAAGTGTCCGATCAGTTTGAAAATTTTGGAAAGTGTAAAACAGACCAAGATTGAGAATTTACGAAAACGGCCGAAAAAGTGTCTTTCAGAAATCGGCAAACAACGGAAAAACTAGAAATTTCCAAAAAATGCTACGAATGCAAAGTTTTGAATCTAGATCAGCTTTATATTTTCCAAAACATTCAAAATGATCGAACACTTGACAGCCGAGCTCCAGACTCTTGAAAATGATCTAATTTAACTGAAAAACACGTTTTTGTATTTCTTATTGACCGGTTCTGTATATAGTTCCGTTCCTCACAACACCTATTTTGCCCTAATACCCCTCTCGGAACAGAATGCCCCTCCGATGGCCACTATCCACAGCTGTGTTTGGACCAGCACAGAAAGCTAAGTTCATCTAGAAAGCTGTTCCGACTTTGACGAATAAAGATTTGCATGAAGATTTTTTCAGAAAGCAAATTTTTACACCTCAGAAAGATTCTATCAAGAAAGACACACACAGTTTCTTGCTTGGTGGTTCCATTTTTACTTTTTTAGTCCTGAAATAAAAACTTAGAAGACTGTGAGGTTTTGAAAAAGTTGGAGAAAGTTATGAAAAAGCAAAAAAAATTGCAAAAAATTCATCATGGAAAAGAAGAAAAACATGATAATTAGTGCAGTCTTGCAAAAACATTTTTAAATATCATTAAATATGCAAAATGTCCTTTCTTATAAGTCGGCAGCTGCTCTAATTGATGCCGTCTAGTTTGTTAGGGAGGTGGCAAGAAGGCTATGAGATCAAAAAGACAGTAAGGAGAGAGGGGGAGTAGTAGGACTTGCAACACATGTTTTTTAACCGTTATGTGTGCGTGGTAGGAAAATCGCAAAAGGGGGAGGAGTCTTTGGGGATGGTATAGCGTTTTCGGATTTTCAAATATTCCGATTTTTCGAAATTTTGGTATTCCGGAATTTCGAAATACTCATATTTTCAATATTTTTGTATTTCGGAGTCTTTTAATTTTCGAAGTTTCAAAATTTCGGAAGTTTTCAAAATTTTGAACTTTCCGGTTTTTACAATTTTGGAATTCCGGAATCCAGAATTTTTTGACATTCAATTTTTGGAAAAATTTCATTTCGCCATCACAAAAACGCTGAAAATTGGCGGAATGACTAAAATATTTCGAAAACGAGAAAAAAATTGGAAGTAACTGTGGAAGATATCAACAATTTGTAAACTAATAAAATAGTGATGATATTATGGCGAACAATCTAGCATTTGATAAAATTTCACTATCTTTCACAGAAATGGAGATAATTGAGCTCAAAGTTGACAGTTCGGGTGGATTTCTAATAAAGGAAACAAGGGTATGTCTGACGTTTCCTAGAGTTACACCGTACAATAAGAAAATGTTTGTGGTAACCCGAAATTCTGAGTTCTTCCCATGACATTTTCCAAACTTTTCAAACCCCACTCTTATTGCATAAGGATCGAAATTTAAAAAGGCTAACTTTTTTTCAAAAAAATCTATCCGACAAAGGTCGGCCGCCATCAAAGGGTACAAAAACCGGTGGAGAGGGAGGAAATCATAACATATTCGAATTTCAATGAGAAAACTGGGCACTTTAGCGTGAGGCGGAGGGGCATTGGATGCTTGGTCTTATGATGTCATTCATTAAATTAGAAAAAATTCAAAAAAAAATTCCTAGAAGACCAAAAATCATACGATCAAACTACACATAATATCATTGTATGCAATGATACGTTCTGATTTATTTGGTTGGGTGCTGTAGATTGCTCAGGCTAGACATGAGCCAGCTACCGTACTCCTCATACCCTCTACTCTCTCGCCTATCCGGGTAACAACCGCTGAATAGGTATTCCGGAATTTCGAAATCTCTCCTCAATAGAAGTAAATTTATCTTCGATAACTGATTCAAATTCTACCGTAACCCAATTCGAGATGCGAGAAAATGTGAATAAGAAGTCTGATATTGATATTGAAAATAGACGACGGGAACTTCTAAACAAAGTTCTCTAAAAACGGGTCACGGCAAAAACCAGGCGTCACAAAGTCAAATAACAAATTAGCAGCTCGTTGAATCACGAGATCACAAGTGAATCGTTGTTTTCTCCACAGTAACGTTTCACTCGTATGATTAAGTTTTTCATAAGTTTTTCCAATATGACTTTGTTTTCTTGTCGAAATTTCGAAACATTTAAAACAATTTTCATGTCATTGAGTATGCATAAATGATGAAAAAACCGGAAAAATTTTTAAAGGAGTCGAAGTAAGCTGAAAAAGGTTCTTTCATGTGAAATTTAGTTTTAAATCATTCAAGCCATGAAAATGACCGTAGTCGCAGTGTTTTCAAAGGGGGTTGAGAATTTGCTCAAAATTTGTACAAAGGTCCTTCAAACATGCTGAAAACGGTTTCAACAATATCTTTCTCCCGGATCCGATAGGAATCGAAATATGGGCTCTCAAAGTGATTTCAGAGCCAAAATTTGAACCCACACTGTAAAAGTGATTTTTGAAATTTTTTTTCAAAAACCCAATTTCGTCTTTGGGCTCAAAAAATCTCCAAAAAGTCGTTGTTGCTAGAACTTTGACAACCCCTAACTTCTTAATTACTGTTTGAAATTTTGAGAAATAAGTTCAAATCTTGTATGTGATCGATTTAGCAGTACCCCACTTCAAAAAAAGCAAAATTAATCAATTTTCAGAGGCCTAAATTTTTGTTTTTCAATTATAGCATAATGTAAGGACCGGTTAAAAATATAATTTTTAGATTTTTCATCAAGTTCTCATAAAATCTTTTTTTACTTTGAAAATTTTTGAAATTGATCAAATAAGTATCATAAAGTGTCTAGAGGGCTAAACTGGGAATCAAAAATTCGTTTCAAAAAAAGCAAAAAACGTTTTACCACAGTGGGGTTCGACCCAGTATACTCACTCCTAATGAGTTACCCTCTTACCGCAACACCACACAACCGACATTTTCCTCTGGCGCGGAGGGCGTAGAGAGATGGTGAAAGTGCGCCGAGATTGGTAGAAAAATTTAAAACGGGGATTTTCAGCTTCCTGGTAAATCTGGGGACTAGATATTTTTGACATCGTGTAGAGGATGTCTCAAACCAAATGTACTAAAATTTTTAGGCAAATTCTCAACCCCCGTCTGAAAACCCTTCCCTTGTTAGTAGCAATTTTTCTTTGTGAATTTCATATTATTCTATTTGAATCAATTTAAAAAAATGTTTGAGAAGTCGAATCGATCTGAAAAGTTGGTTGTCTGATGTGAAATTTGACTTGAAATCACTCAAAATATAGCAAATCTTGGAAATTGGAAAATTAATTGCAATTACTTTTTGTCTCCTAAAATTACAAAGCGTTTTATTCGAATGAGCCAGAAAAATATTTAAAATCGTCGAATTGAGCATAAAGTTGGTCTTTTGATGTGAAATTTTATTTAAAATCACTTGAACTGTGAAATTACCACAGTTTTGAAATTGAATTCAGCGTATAATTTTCCTTCAAAATTTTGACAAGACCAGAAAGTTTGATATTGTATTTGCCAACCTAGTATACCGATATTCCTCAAATCGAAGCCTACATGAACCGTCGATTTTGAGCTCAATTATCTTGATTTCTGTAAAAGATTTCAAAATATTGTCAACTGTTAAATAATTTATTATAAAATTGCCAATATTTTATTAGTTAACAATTTTTTGATATCTTCAATAGGAAATGGGATAATTGAGCTCAAAGTTGACGATTCGGGTGGGCTTCTATTAGAGGAAATACAGTAATTTCAATATTTCTAGTTTGCTTAATTTTCCTTTCCTCGGTTCAAAAAAAAACATTTTTTGCTTTTCTTTTTATTGTCTTTTAATAAGAATATTTTGCCAAAAACATGGAGATCCGGCAAAATTTCTATGGTCACCCGCGCAAAGAAATGGGCGAAAAGTCCAATTTTTTTAGAAACACACAAAACACAAATTTTCATTAGACTTCTATGAGAATGTGGATAAAACGGAAAGATTCACATAGCAACAAAATCTAGAAAATTATTTGGTACCGATAAATAAAACCAAGTCTATCAAGAATTTAGCGCTTGTAACTAAAAAATTCGCATTTCTAAAATTCGTCCAATGAAATGTTACAAATCCGAATTTCCTTCAAAACAGTTTTCTTTTGAGGGAACAAAAAATTACTGGAAGTTCAGTTGTTTTTCCTATCGAACTTCAAAATTATCCATCACGACGTGTATGATGAAAAATATTTGTAAAAGACAATTCTAAAAAATACAGTAATACATTTATTATCTCTGAAAACTTCTCTTCTAATTCCACTTTTCGCTGAATAGGGACATCCCGAAAAATAAAAATTCCATTAAAATTAACAAAATTCTTCATATCCAGTGAGAAAAATTTTTTAAACAATTTATCTTCCAGCTTCTTTTCCACAAAGAAATCCACGAGCAGCAGCATATCGTGTCTTGTCCATTGTACAGGTGGCATCGTCAGTTAATCCATGGAGAACTCCTTCGACTCTTTGAGTCCACAAGACAATGCAACTTTGAAGATAGCCAGATTCTTCAACAGTTCCCAGATTTCCTTCCGCCCATTTGTATCCAGTTTTATTTGTGAGATGACAATGATAAATCCCTATAAAATTTGAAGATGTTTTTCTCAAGTTTTCCAAAAAACTAGAATTATAACCTCAATCCCATCACATTTTGGATTCTCCAGTTGTTCAGGTCTCGAGCATTCATACTTTCGGTACCCCGAAATCCAGTATAAATTTCCTGCATAAGTGTCATTCATGTTTGCTAGTCGACCTTGTTCTGAAAAGAATTTTGAAGTTATTCATCTAAATCTAAGCTCTTCTAACCAGCCACGAATAATCGTTCCTCTTCCGTTTCCAGTCCAGAAAGAATAGCGTCATATTTATCGATACAACTGTTGTATGCATCAGAATATGTGAAAGATTCGTAAATATTTGCGTAAAGGAAAAGACAGTACTCTCCAGTGGGACGGGTGAACTTGGTGAATCCAGGAGGGCAAGAACGAATGGCTGGAAAATGGATACATTAATTTTAACGTTTTCCTTTCAAAATTACTATTGTATTTAAAAGTGAGCAATCCATCGGCGTCCTTGTCAATTGTAAATTGAAATTGTGTGTTTTTAAAGCCCTCATCAGCCATTTCCGATACAATTGGCAATGCATCAAGGGGTTCAGGAGGACAAACTTTTCCGAGATAGTTGATCTGTGTTTCTTTTCACTTTAAAAACTGGCATTTAACATTTTTGGCTTACTTTGAACAAAATCTCATTCGCATTTTTGGTTTCAAACAATTGTACTTTTTCAACAGATCCGAATTCATAAATCGTGCAAACAGATCCATCGAAATGAGCCACAATGCAGTTGATTACATTGTTACATTCATTAACATAATCCTGATGGCTGTATGAGCCTTCTTGAGACACAAAACCACCCGAAAACTCAACTGGTTTTCCGAATTTCACAATCAGAGTGAACCAGTCATTGCTCTTTAAAAAGACAGTGAAACTTATTAAAAGTAAGACTATTTTATACTCACCGAAGCTCTAGCCACAAATAGCAAGTATAGGAAAATGCCCCGGAGATACATTGAGGGAAGCACTGTGGGCAAACTAGAAACCATCAAAAATATATATGAATGGGATGGAGCCGCGAGTGTGTGTCTAATTCTCAAAAAGATTTTATTGCCTTCAAATAAAAAAAAATGGGCGGGCTGATGTCATTTAGAGAATCCAACAAGGAGGAACTAGCTGTCCGTAGTTTGACATCTCCGATACATTCGGAGAACTTGGATTCTGCAGATTAAAGCAATGGAAACCGATGTTTGGCATTCCGAGATATTTGCAAGTATGCAAGTATTCCGAGATATTTGGGCTCTTTATGAAAAGGGGGGCATGAGAAAAGGGGGGGGGGGCCAAGCGAAAAAGGGGGGGGGCAAAGCGAAAAGGGGGGGGGCCCAAGTCAAAAGGGGGGGGGGGGCCCATAGGTAAAAATGTGGATTAAGTTAAGATTAACCAATTCTTTCTAGTTTTGTGACCGTTTCCATTAAAATTTCGAACTTTGAACACTTTTCATAATTTTTTGAACATTTCAGTTTATGTCATTTTTTGCATATTTTTTGTCTATGTTTTTGTTACTAAGCCTGGAAAAATCTGAAACTAGCTAAATAACTTCAAATCACACAGTTGCAATGAAAAAATAGTGTTTTTCATACAAAAAACCGGCCTAAACTGAAATTTTTTGAAGTGACAAATTTTTGTGGAAACAAGCGCGAAGTACGAAATTTTTATAGAAACATTTGAAAAACTAGAAAAAATTGGTAAATCTTAACTTAGTCCACATTTTTAGCTATGGGTCCTCCCTTTTGACTTGCGCCCCCCTCTATTCTCATGGGCGCAATGTGCGCGCCTAACATTCCCTGATTTTTTTTTNGAAATTTTATACTTATTTCTATATTNTATGGCACCTAAGATGAATGGAGCCTAACTACCTTTATTTTTGTGATTTTTATTTGAATTAACGAGGTAAGATTTTTNAATTTACGATGTTTTTCAAAAAAACATTATGAAGTCATTTTTGAAACTAGAGAAATAATAATTT